AGAGTGAACTTTCTGCTTCTGCAATTTTCTCAGGGTACCTTATTGTAGGGTATTCTGAACCATTTTCATTTAATAAGTTCTCTATACTGAAACCTAACACTGATCTTTAGACAAAGCCACAGTGAGGTGTTTCAGCCTGGGGAAAGGGCTGTGTTTGACATAATAAAAGATGATGTCCTAGTTTCCAAAATGGCTCCATTATAAGGTGTTTTCAAGGGAAATATTTGCTTTTTTATTGTTTATGGTACTGGGAACCCAGCCCTTTTATTTTGAGACAGAGTCTGGCTAAATTGCAGAGGCTGGCGTGGAACTGAAATAGGAATTTGAGAATAAAGGCAAAGATACTGAGTCTCAAAGGAAGTGCCCATGAACCACGAATTCCTGAAAACACCCAGGAATAATTGCATCTCCTAAGCAACATGCCCTTTGTCCCTGCCCTGTAAGGTGCGGGCAATACACAGTGCAGAATAAAAGTGGCCCAAAACTATGTAGCTCCACCTCTAGTCCAGCCCCTAGCAACCATCTCTATAAACATTAACGCCCCATATCAATAGTTGCTGTTACTCTAGAGATAGCCTGCATACTCCCTTGAATTTGTATCTATTTTCCTAAATAAACCTCTAAAGACTGGTGCTGCTGAAATTCTTTTCCAATACATATGCCATGACCCTGATGGTCCAGACAGAGTCAAGTTCCCTCTTATCTCTGGGAATTCTGTCAACCTTTCTCCGGAGACATGTCTTCTCCCATGAAAGAATTTGCCGTGCTCTTGCCTCACCCTCCTGAGACACTGGATTTACAGGTATGCACCACCACACTTGGCTCAGGAAAAGTTTTAACAACACGTTATTTTCACCTTAGGCATTGACTTTTAGAATCTACCCCCTCACACACAGGTGCCAGATGTGGTGGCCCACGCCTGTAATCCCAGCAATTTGGTAGGCTGAGGATCGCAAATTCCAGGCCAGATTCAGCAATTCAACAAGAACCTGTCTCAAAATAAAAAATAAAAAAGGGCTGGGAATGTGGCTCATTGGTTAAGTGCCTCTGGGTTCGAGCCCTTGTACAAAAAAAAAAAAAAAAAAGTTAATAGTAACAATAAAGAGGAATTTGTCGCCTCCCTCCTGGAAAGGCTGGCACTCCAGTCCTTGGTATGTAAACAAACCACTCCAAGTTTGTGTACAAAACCTTAGAGATTCCTCCAAGATTTGGGACTTCATTGCTTTTTACATGAAGATATTGTTCCACACATCCTGGCACCTGTGGGTTAATCCTTGTCCAGCCTGTAACCATGGTCCTCTTGGTGAGATAAGGAAAGTTTTATTACTGAACATGGTGGCACATGTCAGTAATACCAGGAGGGAGGCCGAAGCAGTGATTTAGAGAGGCTAAGTGCAAGTTTGAGGCCAGCACTTGGCAATTTAGTGGAACCCTTAAGAATAAAATGGCTGGGGTAAAGCACCCCTGGGCTCAATCCCCAGTACTGGGGAAAAAATGTATTACCCTTTGGGTCACCTATGATCCAGAAGGTCATACATGGATCAATTCGTTTCTTCTGCAAACTCCCAGTGATCCTGTGACTCAGATGGTAGGAAACCTTTTGCCCTGAAGTACCCAGACTCCCACCACACACCCACCCTTCCAATTGCCAATTGTCTGCTCCTCTGCCTGCACTCTGTAGGGTAACATTTAAATATGAGATATGATATTGGCATTTGCTTTAAAATACATTGGTTAGTGTGGTACAGTGGCCACTTGGGAGACTGAGGCAGGAGGACCGCAAGTTCTAGGCCAGCCTTGGTAACTCAAAATAAAAAGAAGTAGGGATGTAGCTCCATGGGAGAGTGCACCTGGATTCAATCCTCAGTACAAAAAAGAAAAAAAAATCCTTGATAAAACAAAAATCAAGTATAAACACATTTAGACACCCACCTGTAACCCCAGCTACTGGGGAGGCTGAGGCAGGAGGATCGGGACAGGCAGTTCAATTTAAGAAGACTCTGTCTTCTTAAAAACATAAAATATAAAAGGACTGGGGATATAGTTTGGTGGTAGAGAGCTTGACTGCTTGACTGGTATATGTGATCTCCTGGGTTCAATTACAAGTAAGAATTTTTTTTTTTTTTTTTGGAGGGGCAGGCAATGAGGCTGGGAGCATGTAGATCAGTCAATGGTTGAGCACCTGCCCAGCCTTATGCACTAGACCCTGGACTCCAACGGAGGAGGAGGAGTGGGGGCGGGGAGGAAAGAAAAAGAAAGTGTGTGTGTGGGGGGGGGTAGGAATACATATACACACATATGCATACATACACACATATATACTTTACCGCTAAAAATAATGGCCATGGTTTTTTCTCTGCAATTACTGTGTAGGCTCAGTTATGCTCTCGTCTCTCATATGAGTTCATTTACTGCTTTCAACAAACTCTGAGGAAGATCCCGACTTGCCCTCGTATTACGAATGAGGAAACTAAATCTCTGAGGTGCAGTCACTGCCCTTACTCGTTCTTCCGTAACCAAACCCGTAGGCAGAGATTGGGGGGCGGGGGAGGACTGCCCTGGCCCCGCAAACCACCCAAACGTGCATTCCCGGGCACGGCTTTCCTCTCCTGTTGGACCCACAGAAATCCCGAGAAAGCAGATGGGTGCTTCCTTCACGGCGCGGGCTGGGCTCCCTGCCCCCAGCGAAGCCGGGGCGGAGGTCACATCCTCAGCTGTCAAGAGCTGGGCGAGGCCAAGTCCCCAGCCAGCTGCCCTGCCGCGTACGCAGGGGGCGTGGCTTGGATTCCCCGGGAGGGGGAGGGCACCAGGGGGAGGACACCGTGTGTCCTTGGGCGGAGAGGGGAGGTGACTCCAGCCGAAGAGGAGGACGCAGAATGAGGGCCTTGCGGGTGAGGGCCCCCACGGACTGGGCAGGAGCCCCCAACCCAGAAGCCCTTGCCATAACCCGCGACTCCTTAAACATTCCAAGATCTGGGGTCTTGGGACGTGAGCCCCCTTCAGGGTTTGGGACCCTCCTCCAAAACCCAATCTTCTGAGACAGCCAGGACCTCTAACATGGCCCAGATCCCCGGATTTAAACCTCCTTCATTCAGGATTCCCTTTGCATCACTGAGACCCCTACCCCTACTTGGGACTTCTTAGGCAACCTAGAAACGCCCGAGGGACCTAGTCTTGATATTCCAGGGACCCGTTTTCCTCCCATGAATCTAGGAACCCTCACCCCTCAGGACTTGGATTGCCAGAACAGGAGACCCTTTTTATGTCCTCTTGCCTTCCAGGACCTTCCAGCCAGCCTTCTAACCTCAAGCCGTCCTCTCAAGGCACTAAGACTCTTCGTCCAGGCCTTTCTTGATAGGCCCCTCCTTCCCTGCCCTCACTGGCAGTTGAATCTTATTTTTAGGTCGCTTTAGGGATAGACTGGTCCCCAAGTACAGGCCTCACCAGCCTCATTTAGGGATGACCCTCCAGCTGCCTCCAACCCATCCACCTGCTGTACCCTCAGGTCTCCCAGGCGTTGATTCGCTCCTTCAGCTCAACCACCAGGCACCACTTTCAGAACCGAGTGCCCGAAAAACAGAAACTCTTCCAGGTAGGCGGGATGGGGAAGATCCAGGGCTGCAGGCCTGGTCTCTGAGCAGGGCCTGGGGTTGAGGTGAGTGAGGCAGCCAGCATCCCTTCTCACTCCTCACTCCCACACTCAGGCGGACAATGACCTCCCAGTGCACTTGAAGGGCGGGGGAACGGACAACATCCTGTACCGACTGACTATGACGCTGACTCTGGGGGGTGAGTGCCGGGCTTGCTGGTCCTGAGCTACCTGTGGAAAAGGGGGCTGGTTCCTGTTGGCATTTGGGCGGGGCCTTTGCTAAGTGTCTAGGCTGGGGATTAGCAATCTGGGAAGGGGTTGAGTCCTCAGCTGGCCAGGTTTGGTGGATGGGACTGGAGTCAAGGCTGGCTACTTGGGAGTTGGGTTTGTCTCGGCAAGGGAGCTGGACTGGTGATGGGTCTGGGGCCCAGGGAGAAGCTGAGGACTAAGCCCCTTCTCTGGTCCTGATCAAGGCCTTCAGGGTGGGAGGTGGGGAGTGGGGTGGGGTTCCACCTGTTTGGAAAGGGAGCTGACATCTGAACTGGGGCTGGGATTCTGGATGGTATTGGGGAACCTGTAGGGGGGCTTAAAAGTGGGAGATGAGGTCTGGAGGGGAGATTAGGGTCTCACTCTGTATCCCCCACTATCCCATCCCAGGCAGTGTCTACAGCTTGTACTGCCTTGGCTGGGCCTCCTTCCCCCACAAGAAGTGAGACCAAGAAGTTTGGAGGACCTAAGGGACTTGGATAAACATCAATAAATTGGCTTCTTGGGAACCCAACGCAGCTCTGGCCTCTTGTGTGTGTGTCCCTGCCCATCCTCCCACCAGCCAGGAATGTCTGCCCTGTGGACAGTCCATTACCCTGGCCCTTGATCCCCTATGCGGAACCAGGATGTTGCTGCTTCCCAGCCGTCTGCTGAAGGCTTCAGACAGCACACCTGGACTGCTTTTCGGGGTTTGGAGACCTGGAATGGTATCCAGGGGCTTTGTAACCCAGATGGCAGCCCCTCGCCCTACAGAGACCCACTGAGGGAGGAAGCCACTGAGCACAGCCCATGACATAGTAAGAGGCAGAGGGAAGTGATGACAGAGACTGGCTCAAAGAACAAAGCTGAAAGAGGAGCAAACATGACCCTGGGGGACAGAATCCAGAGGGCACTGACACCTCCTACAAGCTCAGGCTCTGGAAGGAGAAGCAGAGACTACTTGGGCTTTTGGGTCCCAGCCTCAGGCTCCATAGGGCCTGTGTGGGATTCTCTGCAAGAACCAGGCTCTGAGCGATATGCAGATCTTGAGGATAAGGCATGGAGATAGACAAAACCACCCTACCCCACCTATCCTACTCCCAAGACTTTCTCTTCCCCAGAGCCCAAGCCACCCCTGGACTCCCAGAACAGGAGGCAGATCGAATAGGGAGCAGCAACTGAGATACATTTATTTCCTCCTGGGCCTAGCAGGCTGTAAGCAGAGTACAGGCAAAGGCACTGGGGTGTGCAGGCCTGCAATGGCCTGGAGTTTATTTGGCTGCTTGGGTGGTAATTTGAATGAGTGTGCCAGGGTGTGTGGGAATTGGAGTGATCTTCTCAGAACTGAGACAGGGCCTTGGGGCATGGAAGCCACTTGAGTATTTGGCTTGGCACAGATATAGGAAAGAGGTAATGGAGAGTGTGTGAGATGGGTGTGGTAGGGGTGGGGCGACCCTTGGGCAGAACATACTAGAATGTCTTAGAGCTGGGGTAACACTCAGGGTATGGCATGTTGGGGCATGATGGGCCCTGGTTATTGCCTAAGAAACTGGGTTTCAAGGACTGGGTGAAGGAAAGGTCTGTGGGTAGCAGGACCTATGAAGAAGTGACTGCAAACAGGCTGGGCCTTGGGAGAAACCCAGGATCTGTGGTGGCTCCGATGGCGAGGCAGTGAGGGGACAGGTCTGGGATTGCCATTCAGGAATACATAGTCAGCTGTAGCCACTGGAGAGAGAAAGGCACAGAGTGAGGAGCAGGGAACCCCAGAATACCAGACCCTCTTCTCTGCCTACACTCAGGGATTGTCGGGAAAATAGGATGGGGGGGGGCAGAGTTCTGAGCTGGTATACAGGGGTGAGGGACAGAGTCTCTCTAAGTACCCACACCTAAGGAAGGGGGTTCTTACCTCCTGGATGTTCACCTGGATTTGTCCAGTGCCATCTCTGTCAAGAGATTTGAAGGCACCTGGAGGAGAAAGAAAGGATACTTTTATATGGGGGATGGGGAGATTAGGATAATGATATACTACTCAATGGGATGATAAAAAAGTCATAGCTGACTCATTTACTCTGTGCCAAACATTGTGCAAAGTGTTTCTCATATGTTAACTCATTGAATCCAATTCTGTGAGATAAGTGGTTAGTATTAGAGATTGAGCAGGGCCACTCTATCACTGAGCTACTTCCCGAATCCTTTCTTTTTTTTTTTTAGGCAGGGACTCCCTATGTTGCCCATGCTGGCCTCCTTCTTGCAATCCTCCTTCTTTAGTCTCCCCAGTCACGTACCATCAAGCCCAGTGATTGTCATTTAAAAATGAAGTACAGAGAAGTGAAGTGACATGCTCTGTGTCACAAAATAAGAAAGGGAAGAGGGCTGGGGATGTGGCTCAAGTGGTAGCGCGCTCGCCTGGCATGCGTGCGGCCCGGGTTCGATCCTCAGCACCACATACCAACAAAGATGTTGTGTCCGCCGAGAACTAAAAAATAAATATTAAAAAATTCTCTCTCTCTCTCTCTCTTAAAAGAAAAAGAAAAAAGGAAAAAGAAAGGAAAGAAATTGGGACTGGAACCCCAAGCCTCCCACTAACATCTATGCTCCATTCTCTCCAGTCTCCACCAACAGGATATTGGGGAGGCTCTGCAGACTCCAATTCCTACCCCAAAAAACTGGTGTGATCCCCACTGCTGAAACTGACTCTAGGTTCCTACCTACAGTTAAACTGATGCAAACAGGGGCCACATTGTCTCTTCCCCCACACACTCACATCACTCACAGTGTCACCAGGCAGGCATCTACACACATGGTGTCCTGGACACTGCACTCATCACAGTTACTACTTGGTCTTCTTGCTAGAAAATCCAAGGGCCATTTCTCTCTCTCTCTCTCTCTCTCTCTCTCTCTCTCGATAGTACTGAGGACTGAATCCAGGGGCTCTCTACCACTGAGATAAATTATACTTTCAGCCTTTTATATTTCATTTTGAGACAAGGCCTTGCTAAGTTGACCAGGATGGTGTCAACTTAAGATCTTCCTGCCTCAGCCTTCTGGTAGCTGGATTACAGGTGTGTACCACTGTGCCTGGTTTGGGCCTTCTCATGTGTAACTTGGGACATTATATGCCCTATTGTCCACTCCCTCTATCTTCTACTTTTTCTCTTTCAATCTTTTTTTTGGTACCAGGAATTCAACCCAGGGGCACTTAACCACTGAGCCACATCCCGAGCAAACCCTTTTATTTTATTTTTTGAAAAGGTCTTCACTAAGTTGCTTAGGGCTTGACTAAATTGCTGAGATTAGCTTTGAGTTCATGATCCTCCTGCCCTGGCCTCCCGCATCACTGGGATTGCAGGCATGCACCACTGCACCTAGCCTCTTTCAATTCTTAATGCACTGTCTACCCCGGGCTCTTGGGAGGCCAAAGCATCTTCCAAAAGCCAAACCCGAGCCTGTCTCTCTCCTGCCTAAAACTTGTTAAAGCTCTCCAATGCCACTGGTAGAGTCTGGGCACCCCTGGACTTGGTATTCACAGCCCTGCATGGCCTGACCGGCTGCCCATTGCTCATACCTCCTCTCACTCTATTCAGTTCAGATCTCAGACAGACCCAAGTTCAAATTCTGATTTTCCGACTTCCTAGCTGAGTGGCCGCAGTTACACAATTTTGCTTCCCTGAATCCTAGGTTCCTCCTCCATAAAATAAGGATAGTAGGGCTGGGGTTTTAGCTCAGTGGTAGAATACTTGCATAGCATATGTGAGGCACTGGGTTTGATCCTCAGCACCATATAAAAAATAAATAAATAAATAAATAAAAGAATGATTTTCTTAAAAAAAAATTAAGTTCATTTAACCACTTAAAATTTTTTCCCAAAAAAAAATAAGGATAATAATTTCTACTTCTCCAGGATGTCATAAGGATTCAATACATTAATGCTCATAAAAGGTTGGGTGTCATTGGGTGCAGTGGCACATAACTGTAATCCCAGTGGCTTGGGAGGCTGAGACAGGAGGATAGCGAGTTCAAAGTCAGCCTTAGCAAAAAACGAGGTGCTAAGCAACTCAGTGAGACCCTGTCTCTAAATAAAATCCAAAAAAAAAAAACAAAAACAGGGCTGGAGTTGTGGCTCAGTGGTCAAGTGCCCCTAAATTAAATCCCCAGTACCCGCCCTCCCCCCAAGAAAGGCTTGGTATAGCTCAGTGGTAAAGCATGTACTTAGTATGTGCAAGGTCCCAGGTTTGACTTCCAGCACCCAAAAAATAAAGAAAAAAAAGCAAGCCCTCATGACCTAGTCCCTACTTCCTACCGATCCTCCTATTCCCATGCCCCCCAACTTCCCATTCTTCAACATGCTTTGAACTACCAAAAAAGCACCCAAAGCACCATTTCCTCTTTCCCTTCAAAGCCTTTACACAGACTGTTTCCTTGGCTTGCAACAGTGGTCCCTGCGCTCTCACTACATTCATTTTTCCTCATCCCTCCCTCATATGTGCCCTCCCCTCCAGGGCGGTCTTCCCTGACCCCTGGGCTGTCTCAGGTACCTCCTCATTGTGAAAGGCACTCCCTGGGGCTTCCCCAAGCACAGTCAGATCACTCTCTCCCCTGAGCTTCCCCTCATAATCCTGATCACTCTGAAAAGGTGCCCCATCCCAGCAGTACCAGTCTCAACTGTCATGTTTGTGGCTTACTAGTGGAATATAAGCTCTGTAAGGACAGGAACTGGGGCTGTTTCCATCACTGCTCTGCCCTTAGCACTGCACAGCTCAAAGTCAGGCTTAGAGGCAACTTTGGAGAACAGACCTTAAACAAATCCCTGCCCGGGAAGAGAGCTGGAGTGTTACTCACGGAACATGGCATCCAGCCTGACCAAGCAGCTGATGAAGTTGTCAAAATCCATGTTTCCTTCCTCATCAGAGTAGCGCCGGATGATCATGTTGTAGAGATGATCATTCAGGCGGAATCCTGAAAATGGTTCAGTCTCTTAGGTGTGAAGGCCAAGTGGCCCAACCTACTCTAATTCCCAGGATTCAACTACCTCATCAATCCCACCCCCAACACCACCATGTCCCTGGCAGCCCTACCTGCTGCCTCAAAGGCCCCTGGGAGTTCAGAGCTGCAGATGGTCCCTGATCTGTCAAAGTCAAACTGTTTGTATATGGCCTGTGGAGATAGGACAGGGTCTGATTGAGCATCATGGGACATGGTGCTTCCATGGATTGGGGGTCTTGGGTGCTAGGAAATTTCAAAAGACTGCCACTCACCTGCCACTTTTTTATGTTGTTCCACAGATACTTAAATTCCTCGAAGCCCAGCTTGCCTGTGGTGTCACTCTGGCAAGAGGCTGTTAAGAACACCATGACAGCTGTACACGGATATGCATACTATATGCACTAGACACATGACAATATTATAAATTCAGGAACCTGGACTAAAATGCCAGCTCCCATTCAAAAATCCATCATGTCACATGGGGTGTGGTTTTATTTTTCATTTTATCTACATATCTTTCTCTTTTTCCTTTGGTGACTCTGTGTGTGTGTGTGTGTGTGTGTGTGTGTGTGTGTGTGCGCGCGCGCGCGCACGCACATGCATGATACTAGGGATTAGACCCAAGGGCACTTTACCATTGAGCTATATTCCCAAGACACTCTTTTAACATAACTATGGGATATTATATATTATATTGTGCTTCTTCAAACTACAAATTCTTCACCTAAAAAGAATTATGTCCTCATTTATATATATGATGGACATCGTGCTATGGCATGTCAATGCCAAAACTATCAGTTTTCAGATTAGGGTCTGTGGGGGAACAGGTTGAAGATCAGAGGCCAGAGATCACAGCCAC